GTAGAACATAAAGTCAACTTATACGCTGATGACGTCATGCTTACCCAACAAAACCCAAAGTCATCACTGCCGGAATTGATAAAGGTATTGGGTCAATATAGCGAATATTCAAATTATAAATTAAATACAAATAAAACTATAATAATGGCAAGTAAGATTCACAGTGAAGACAGGAACTTTATCAAAACAACGTACAACTTTGTCTGGACAAAGGATAATATCACGTTTCTTGGTATTAAAATCCCAAGAAACATAAATAAAGTAATTGAGGTTAACGTTCTCCCACTTATAAAATTCACAAACAAATCCTTGAAAGAATGGGTCAGTAAGGAGATCTCCTGGATAGGGAGCATAAATACGATCCGATCATACATTTTGCCTAAATGGAATTATATTTTTAAAATGTTACCGATACAAGTCCCAATACCCTGGTTAAAAATTATACAATCAGCTTTTGCTAAATTCATTTGGAAGGGGGAAAAGCACAGAAGTAATCTAAATCTGATATTGAAAAAGAAAAAAGATGGGGGAAATATAATAGAATACCATAATGCTTGCATGTTTGCACATGCTACAATTACCCAAGGTAGAGACCAAGAAAATCAAGCTTGGTACCAAATAGAATCTGCACTGGTAGAGGTAGATAACTTTTCTGAATTATTCTGGACAACTAAAAAGGAGAAAATTAAAAACAGACCAGTGTTCCCAGAAAACTCAATTATTATCAACAGTATTCTGAGACTGTGTAATAAAACTAAAAAGGGTTATAAAATAGAATATAGACTGTTTCCTTTTTTATCTATGGAGGTGATCCCGGGGAACATTGAGGATATTAATATCAGTATATGGTTACAGAAGGGAATTCAGACTATCCAAAACTGCATAGATAAAGGAGAAATGAAGCCTTTTAATCAGTTACAGAAAGAGTTTGGAATTGATAGCAGGGAGATCTTTACATATCTGAGAATTCAATTCTTTCTGGGGAAATTTTTGTAATTTAAGGTAGACAAAATTACAAACAATTTAAGAAATATCCTGGATAATTATAGATCAAAAGGACATATAACTAGATGTTTTGAATTTTTTAAAGAGTCTTAGAGGAACTATGAGTGGAAATCTAAGATTAAGTGGGGAAAAGACCTTAATACGGAAATTACAGATCTAGATATGATAAAGGCTATAGTCAATGTGAATAATGGTACACTGCCTGAATATAGTAGATAATTTTTAAAAGTTAGTAAATAGATGGTATATGGTCCTGGAAAAATTGTCTAGAATATATAAAGATCAGCATAATAAATGCTGTAGATGTGAAATAGGGAAAGGAGATTTTCTCCATATATGGTGGCAATGCAAACAGTTAAGTAAGACATGGAATATCATTCATGATCAGATATATGTAATATGTCAGGTAAATATACCTTTTACACCACAGAGTTTACTGCTGCATCAGGGATGCCCTGCTATACCCATTGACAAAAGTATGTTAATAAAACACATTCTGATGGCAGCAAAGTTAGTGTTGGCTATGCATTGAAAAAGTAATAAGGTCTTAGAGTGGAATGAAATAAAAAAATCAGTTGATTTATCAATGTAAAATGGAAACTGGAATAATTCAAAGGAATTCAGTTGGACTGCTGAAAATTAATAGATGATTAAAAATTGTGGAAAAGCTCCTAGTCAGTAATTAATATTCCTAGTTAAAAATAATATATAACGCCCCAAATGTATGAATGGGCCCTAAGGGGAGTAAGTAGGAACGGATAGGTCACATGGGGAAAACAAGTTTGAAGATATAGCTTCGTATAATGACTGATAAAGCAAATGTTATTCCCACGGGCTAGTGAATGTATATGTGAGTGATTCTGTTGTGTATGTATTTTAATTTTGCAATACATGTAAATTTATAGATATTTATTTTCTTGTAGTATCGAAATACTAATTGTTACTGACTTCATGTAATGCAATTTAAAATTAATGTATTCATTGTTGTATTCTGAGAAAATTTGAAAAATAAAATATAATAAAAAAAGTTTTTAATAGATAGTATTCGATGGATTTTAGAGAATAATTATTTTGTGTTTAACTCAAAGTTTTATTTACAATTACAGGGTACAGCTATGGGGACCAGGTTTGTTCCCAGTTATGCAAACTTATCCATGTTTGGCTGGAAAAATGCAGTTATCTACAACAGCCAGGCTTGGGGGATGAACCTGGTCACATACCCTAGATATATTGATGACCTTTTTTATATGGAAGGGTTCACAAAACGACCTTGAAATTTTCCTGGAAGGTATTAATCATAACGACTGGGGTATACAGTTAAGTAGTCAGTTCAGTACATCTAACATTAGTTTCTTGGATCTATAGATCTATGTAGACGATGGTATTCTAAAACCAAAAAACTGTTTAAAAAAGGGTATATGCTAATAGCTATGTCCTGTATAGCAGTGGTCATTATACCCCCTGGTTAAACAACATTCCAAAAGGGCAACTAAAAAGGATAAGAAGGAATTGTTATAAATTGGAGTGGGGGATCTGCCTTATTATGGTTTTTTTATTTGGCCTTTTTTGGGGCTGAAAAAAGAAGATTTTAGAAGAAAGAAAACATCGAATGGTAAGTTTTTTTTTTTTTTTTACAGGTACTTAGTTAAAGGTCCCCCCCTCATTATTTTTAGGGTGAGGGGGTAGGTAGGGGGATCATTTTTTTGGGGGGTGAGGGGGTGACTAGGGGTTTGGGGACCCCTTGTCACCTGGGAGGGAACATTTTTTTTAAGGCCCCCACCCGCCGCTCAGGGGTGGGGGCCGGGGGGAGGACAATAGGTCCCCCATTGGTATTTAGGGCCCCCACCCGCCGCTAAGGGGTGGGGGCCAGGGGGGTGGACATTAGGTCCCCCCTATTTGTATTTATGGCCCCCACCAACCGCTCAGGGGTGGGGGCCACGGGGAAACACATTAGGTCCCCCCTTATTAGTATTTAGGGCCCCCACCCACCGCTTTAGGGATGGGGGCCAGGGGGGAGGACATTAGGTCCCCCCTTATTCCAATTTAGGGCCCCCACCTGATGCTCAGGGGTGGGGGCCAGGTGGGGTCCCCCCTTATTAGTATTTAGGGCCCCCACCCACCGCTCAGGAGTGGGGGCCAGGGTGGGGACATTAGGTCTCCCCCCTTATTCCAATTTAGGGGCCCCACCCACCACTCAGGGGTGGGGGCCAGGGGGGAGGACAATAGGTACCCCTCCATCATTTTACTTTAGGGCCCCCACACACCATTCAGGGGTGGGGGCAGGGGGGCAATAGGACAATTTTAATATGCTACCTTTAGTTCTAAACTTCAATAGGGTTTTCAAAAAAGTTAAGTCAATTATGAATAAGCATTGGCAACTTCTAAAAACAGATAGGGAACCATTATCCCAGATAAACCTTTTATTATGTTTATATTGGTTCAACCAGTTTAAAACAAATTTTGACGTTTAACCATCCCAAAAGAGACATTTCAAATACTTTTCTAAATACTAATAAAAAAAGGTTTTTACTTATGTAGGAAATTTGCTGGCTGCAAATGCAGTAAAAATAGAACACTAAAGGGTATCAGTATAAAGCAGAAGAATTTACTATTAAAGATTGTATCCTGTTTTACTAAGAATATAATCTATCTTTTAATATCCCCGTGTGGGTTCCAATATGTTGGTAGGACCATTCACCCTTTACATAAAAGGATATATGAGCACATTAACAATATCCGAAAAGACTTCGATCAACATAGTGTCTCTGCACATTTTAAGTAGTACACAATAAAGACCCTTGTGGCTTAACTTTTTAGGGATACAAATAGTTAAAAAATCCTGGCGAGGAGGAAATTATATTCAACAGATAGGGAAAGAAAAGATGAAGTGGGTACACAATTAGAGACTCTTGAACCTAAAAGACTTAATATAGAATTTGATTTATATAATTTTTTTTTATAAATGAATAATCTTTTATAAACTAATGTTTATTGTGGCCTATTATATATATATATATATAATATATTACACCATCAGATATATATAGTTTGCAATATTAATGCCCCCTTTTTTCCCTCTCCTTTTTAGTAGGTTCTCAGTGTTTTTAGTTTTTCACTTCCATATTTTATTATATGTTTAAAATATTTCCTCTATATTTTCTTTCTCTCTCTCTCTCTCTCTCTCTCTCTCTCTCTCTCTCTCTCTCTCTCTCTCTCTATGTGTACATATATATAATGTATTTTGATGTCTTTCTTTACTATGATGTAATGTCTGGGACACTTCATTGTTTCGTGATTTTATTGGGTTTTTTTTAATTGTGGTAGCTCACAAAAGATTGGGACATACAACAAAAGAAACATTTGCGGCCTGCGGTGCATTTCTCACAGTCCTGATGCATGGAGAAATGCTCAACTCCTGATGCATGGAGAAAAGGCCTTCTCAAGCCTCTACTGATGTGTACTTAGTTTATACTAAGTGACCCATAGGTTGAGGAGGTGGTGACCGTGGCGGTGGAGGAGGAGGATGAGGTAGCCAACACTGTTATTTATGTTTTGTTTTTTTATTGCGGTTGCCCACAAAATATTGGGACATACAACAAAAGAAACATGTGCGGCCTGCGGTGCATTTCTTGCAGTCCTGATGCATGGAGAAATGCTCAACTCCTGATGCATGGAGAAAAGGCCTTCACAAGCCTCTGCTAATGTGTACCTGGTTTATACTAAGTGACCCATAGGTTGAGGAGGTGGTGACCGTGGCGGTGGAGGAGGAGGACGAGGTAGCCAACACTGTTATTTATGTTTTTATTTTTTTTAATTGTGGTAGCCCCCATAATATTGGGACATACAACAAAAGAAACATTTGTGGCCTGCGGTGCATTTCTTGCAGTCCTGATGCATGGAGAAATGCTCAACTCCTGATGCATGGAGAAAAGGCCTTCACAAGCCTCTGCTATTGTGTACATAGTTTATACTAAGTGACCCATAGGTTGAGGAGGCGGTGACCGTGGCAGTGTAGGTGGAAGCGGCGGTGGAGGAGGAGGAGGTAGCCAACACTGTTTTTTATATATCTATTTTTTTATTTTAATTAGGGTAGCCCCCAAAATATTATGACATAAAAAAAAGAAACATTTGCGGCCTGCGGTGCATTTCTTGCAGTCCTGATGCATGGAGAAATGCTCAACTCCTGATGCATGGAGAAAAGGCCTTCACAAGCCTCTGCTATTGTGTACATACTAGTTTATACTAAGTGACCCATAAGTTCAGGAGGCGGTGACCGTGTTTCTGCGCCTACCATGGTGACCACGGGTAACAGGGAATCAGGGTTCCATTCCATACAGGGACCCTGAGAAACGGCTACCACATGCAAGGAAGGCAGCAGACGTGCAAATGACCCACTCCCGACGCGGGAAGATAGTGATGACAAATAACAATACAGGACTCTTTAGAGGCCCTGTAATTGTAATGAGTCCACTTGAAATCCTTTAACTATCATCAATTGCAGAGCCACTGACCCATGCGTGCTGCAGCTGAAACTCCATTATCGCCTGCTGCTGCTCGCACAGTCTCATGAGCCGGTGAGCAGGAAGGCCGAAGTTACACTGCAGCGCAGACAGGCGAGCAGCAGCAGGGTGAAAATGCCAAAAGCATGCACAGCCACTAGAGTGAATGTCACATCCTGTTCCAAGTTGCGGATCAGTCTGGTGATGGCTTCTGGTATCTACTGAAGCTGCATCAGGGTCCTGGTATGTGGCCGCACAAGCGCTGGTGCTCAACACCAGGGGGCTTGCGGTTATCCGGCACCAGACCCTGCTAATCCATTCCACACTGTGACTCCTAACTTCAACATCAGGCATAGTGGGTCCCGGTTGTTTGACCACCGCCCAGACAGTGTCTTGGTCTTGGCCAGCGGACTTCCCACCTCACTGTGAAATTACAAATGGATCATTAGATCTGGTACGAACCCAAACTTTGCAGTTTGGGTTCGCTCAAGTCTATTATGGATCCTTTGATCGCTACATGTATTACTTGGATAAGTGGTAATTCTCAAGCTAATACATGCTGACGAGCGCTAGGGGACGGCCGCTCCGCTTTTGCACTCTGCTCCCTCTTATGCTGTGCTGGTGCCTCTGTGCGACCAGCGCCTCTTCCTCCAAACTGCACACGTCACTTGCATGACCTTGATTCCATGTGAGGTCTAAGACCTCATCATCCTCCACATCATCTTCCACCCACTCCTCAACCCTGCCCTCCTTGCCGGTATGCACACTGCAGAAAGCCACAGCAGGTGGCACCTGTGTTTTTCCAGCATGTAAAGTCTGCAAAGGATATATGGAAATTGATTTAGAATTGTATCCAGGCAACAGTTTTCCTTATAAACTGACCTCTCAGTTTGACTTGTGAGGGTATTGCCCCAGAATTACAATATGTTGAAATACCTCTTAGCTATTGATCACTGATTTAAATATTGCAGCTTGTTATCTGGTAGTTTCTAGTGTAGAAAATATCAATCTGTTTTTTATCACTTAGATCTGTTTAACAAGTGTTGTAGGTGTGAAACAATATTACAAGTGACTGATGTAGTAAATTCGAATCAAAGTTACGCTTTGATTTGACAGATATGAAGTGAACACCCCACATATACTATTTAGCACCAAAAAAAAAATTGTCTTTTAAAACTCCAATGTAAAAAGCAGATCAGTAGCAAAACAATTACAATATTTACAACTGCGCAGTAAGCGCACTATTTGACGCTTCTATTTGACTCTCAGATATGAAGTGCACCGCAGGACCCAAAATTCACTATTTAGCCGGTTAGCAGCAAAACAATTAGAATGTTTACAACTGCGCAGTAAGCACACTATTAGACACTTCTATTTGACTCTCAGATATGAAGTGCAGGCCACAAAATGTACTATTTAGCAAATTAGCACCCACAAAATAAGAATGTTTATCACTGCCCTGTAAGCGCACTATTACTCTTAGATATGAAGTGCATGCCCCAAAATGTACTATTTAGCAGATTAGCACCCAGAAAAAAGAAATGTTTACCACTGCGCTGTAAGCACACTATTAGATGCTTCTATTTGACTCTGAAATATGAAGTGCACCGCAGGCCTCAAAATGTACTATTTAGAAGATTAGCAGCAAAACAGAATGTTTACAACTGCGCAGTAAGCACACTATTAGACCCTTCGATATGACTCTCAGATATGAAGAGCAAGCCGCAAAATGTACTATTTAGCAGATTAGCACACATCATCTTCCACCCACTCCACAACCCTGCCCTCCTTGCCGGTATGCACACTGCAGAAAGCCACAGCAGTTGGCACCTGTGTTTTTCCAGCATGTAAAGTCTGCAAAGGACATATGGAAATTGTTTTAGAATTGTATCCAGGCAACAGTTTTCCCTATAAACTGACCTCTCATTTTGACTTGTGTGGGTATTGCCCCAGAATTACAATATTGTTGAAGTACCTCTTAGCTATTGATCACTGGTTTGAATATAGCAGCTTTTTATCTGGTAGTTTCTAGTGTAGAAAATATCAATCTGTTTTCTATCACTTAGATATGTGTAACAAGTGTTGTAGGTGTGAAACAATATTACAAGTGACCGATGTAGTAAATTTGAATCAAAGTTACGCTTCGATTTGACTCTCAGATATGAAGTGAACACCCCAAATATACTATTAAGCACCAAAAAAAATTGACTTTTTAAAACTCCAATGTAAGCAACAGATTAGCAGCAAAACAATTAGAATGTTTACAACTGCGCAGTAAGCGCACTATTTGACGCTTCTATTTGACTCTCATATATGAAGTGCGCCACAGGCCGCAAACGTACTATTTAGCAGATTAGCAGCAAAACAATTAGAATGTTTACAACTGCGCAGTAAGCACACTATTAGACGCTTCTATTTGACTCTCATATATGAAGAGCAGGCCACAAAATGTACTATTTAGGAGATTATCACCCAGAAAATAAGAATGTTTACCACTGCCCTGTAAGCACACTATTAGATGCTTCTATCTGACTCTCAGATTTGAAGTGCAAGCCCCAAAATGTACTATTTAGCAGATTAGCACCCAGAAAATAAGAATGTTTACCACTGCGCTGTAAGCACACTATTAGACGCTTCTATTTGACTCTCAGATATGAAGTGCACTAAAATACTATTTAGCAGTTTAGGACCCCCAAAAATTTAAGTTTTAAAACTGCAATGTGACAGTAGTATTTGACGCTTTTGACTCTCAGATATGAAGTACACCCCACTAATGTACTTTTTAACACCCCAAAAATTTTAAGTTTTAAAATTGCAATGTGACAGCAGTAGTTGACGATTCTATTTGACTCTCAGATATGAAGTGCTAATGTACTACCCCACTAATGTACTATTTAGCACCCAAAAAAATGTGCTTTTTAAAACTCCGATGTAACCACGGTATTTGAAGCTTCTATTTGACTCTCAGATATGAAGTGCACCCCACTAATGTACTAGTTTGCAGAATTATTTTCTAAGCTGTCCCTATCAGCAGCAGCATCCTCACCCTACACTAATAAGACCGCATGTGCGTGCGGCGCTACGCGACTCCAGCTTATATATAGAGGCTGGGTCACATGCTGCACTGGCCAATCACAGCCATGCCATTAGTAGGCATGGCTGTGATGGCTTCTAAGGGCACATGAGTGAAACGCTTGTTGATTGGCTGCCCTGCAGCCTTTGAAAACGTGCCATTAAATCGCCAAACACCAAACTCCAACCCGAACAGTGATATGTCCGTGTTTGGGTCCGGGGTCCAAAAAACATAATGTTCAGTTCGGGTTCGCTCAACTCTATTAATCACTCATCTATAATTGGGAGATAATTGTACTAAACTATCTCCAGGCACAGAAAAAAATATTTTTACAGCATATTAAAAATACCCCCAAAACACATGGAACCCCCAATATAGTCATATCCTCTGATCTGGGGGACCAACATATCCAAAAATCACCCAGATTGGTTCAGGGATTCAGGATTTTAATGAACGTCTTAGAGTTGACCGACCGCACAGGAGGTTCTTGCCCTAAAAGAGTTCCATGAAATCAGCCTATGCGGTCGGTCTCTATTGGAAGAGACAAATAGAATAGAAGTATCGAACGTAACAGTTTGGGAGTACAATCAGTCTACATTCCTTGTTCGGGAGCTTGCTCCCACCAAACACCATTTAGTTCTCACGTCTTTTACCAAACTTATATGGAGGTGCAAGTTCTAGCAGTGTTCGCGCTGTCGAGTGCATGACTTGAGTTCTATGCACTCGACGACCAAATACTGCTGTATGTGTTCGCGGATTAAGATGGCCATCGCCACATGTTCAGCCATACAAACGGAGGCTACCCAGCTGACCACTCAGAATGTTAATACAATTGCAGTTACTGAAGTGCAAACAAAGGTGAAAAGGGTAAATGAGCCGCACATGCCTGCCCTGGGTGGTCTGGCTTTTCGGTAGTTTGTTCGGTATACAAAATAGAAAGGTCTCAGGTGTTCAGTGAGTTTGTATACTGAACTATGTAAGGTTTCAAAATAAACAAAAAGGAGCAGCAAATAATTCAGTGTTAGGAAACCTGTCACAGTAATCCTTTTCTCTTATTCCCCCATATAAACATAACTGAGCTTAATGTATTTTCCTGAAAAAAGACATTGGAATAGTCAAAAGGGATGGCTCTTAGATCTCGATATATTTTGGTAAGATATTAATTTTAATAGAGGTTATTCTAGCTAGCCAAGATAAATCTAAAGAGCTCCAATTTTACATTTCTTTGTGTAAGTCAGGCCATGCTTTTTTAAGGTTTAACATGTGCATATTATTCAAGTTCATACATAGCTTAATACCAAGATAATCAATGCGTTTCTCCAAACAAAATTCAATATAAGACTTCAAGTCCTCCATATTATACCATGGAATTTAGGGCTTGTGTTTGACCTGGATTGAGCTTGCATAATAAAATA